GGCAGCGCATTATTACACGCTGCCCGACTTCCTGATTGGCCGGGAAGCCGGCTCCATGCTCTCGCGTCACTTGTGACGAGAGAGCATGGAGCTGGCTTCCTGATTGGTCGGAAGCTGGCCAATCAGGAAGCCGGGCGCCCTGTAATGACACGGCGCCCGGCTTTCTCATAACGAGGGAGCATGGAGCCGGCTTCCCGGCCAATCAGGAAGCCAGGCGCCGCGTCATTACACAGCGCCCGGCTTCCTGATTGGCCAGAAAGCCGGCTCCACGCTTTCTCTGCTTCCCGGCTAATCGGGAAGCCAGGGGGGCGAGTCATTACACGCCGCCTGGCTTCCTGAATGGGACTTAAAGTACTCTGTATTCGGTATCGGCGAGTACCGAAAAATAATATCGGTACTTGATACTGAATTACCGGTATCGGTGAATCCCTACTTTACAGAAAGATGTTATTAGGACTGTCCTTGGAATGTGTTGTTCTAATGTCCTTGAAAGGTCTTGTTGTGCAGTCTGTAGATCAGTGGTTGTCAACTTAGAAGGTATAGGGGGCCTCGATTGCGGCCCCTGAAAGAACTGAAGGGATGCACATAATGTTCAATATATACACTGCCGGCCAAAAATAAAGTCACCACCTGGACTATCAGTATCGGTGCCGATACCTAGTATCAGTATCGGTGCCGATACCGAGTATTTGTGTGAGTACTCGTACTCGCCCAAATGTTCCGATGACTAGCCTGATACCCGAACTTCCATTATCAGGATGCCGGGCAGCGAGTCATTACACACTGCCCAGCTTCCTGATTGGCCGGGAAGCCGGCTCCATGCTACCTCGTCAGGAGCATGGAGCCTGGTTCCTGGCCAGTCAGGAAGCCGGGTGCCATGTAATGCTTTACCACCTGGCTTCCTGATTGGTCGAGAAGCTGGCCAGTTTCATTACACACCGCCTGGCTTCCTTAATGGGACTTTCGGTATTTGGTATCGCCGAATACCGAAAAAATAAATTTCAGTACCCGATACCGAAAAAACGGTATTGGTGCATCCCTACTATTGGAAGTTGTAATAGATTCTTGTTGACCTAGAAATCGGTATGTTGGGTCTCATTCACACTTCCAAAATAGTTCTGTACAACAGATTTCTGCGGCGAGAATCAGCAGATTCTTGTGGCTGGAATCACAGAAAATGCGAACAGCTGCAGTCAGGAAGCTTGTACAAGGCAATCACAGACTGACAGGAACCGCAGCTGTCTGCCATTATTCCCATGTATCCGCACATCCAGCAATTACCTGCGGCTTAGAACAGATTTCTGACCCTGGACCCAGACAGACTGCGTCCTAGGCCGGTCATCTGTCACTAGCCACAGGGAACAGCTGGATGTGCGGATACATGCGAATATCGGCGGACAGCAGCTGCTTCTGTCAGCTTGTCATTGCATTGTACAGGTATCATGACCACATCTGTTCACATACATGTGATTCCAGCCACAGGAATCTGCTGTCCGAACATATTTCAGATGCATGAATGAGGCCTTATTTCAATGTGTTGCTGTTCTTTCTGCCTGGCTGCCGTGTCAGCGCCATTGTCTGTACTACATGCAGGTACATAAACTCGGCATCCAGCTGACATCGGTATATGTTGCAGACATGTCCTGTAGTATTTAAACTCTTCTGATGAGAAACCGTGGCAGGTTTTTATAATCCGTATATTTGGGTTAATCTCTCATTATCTAAAACGAGCAAATCTGGATTACTTTAACGTGAGTAATGATTTGTGAGCCATCATTTGTTTTCTTTGATGTTCTTTGTACAAAACAGTGTTTTGTTTTACCTCAGTAAAAAAATCTAACACTCGGGGCTCCAGAATGGTGAGAGGGTCAGTTTTGGGTAATTTCGTCCTTCATGAGGAATTACATTGGACAGATCCTATAAGTATCTTCGAGTTCCTGGATGATGACTTAGGCCCCATTCACACTGAGCGATTTATCGAGCGATTTCGCTCATATTTTCACGCGATATCGCTCTATGTAGCTTCTCCAATCCATTTCAAGGGAGCTGTTCACATCTCGTCGCTCAATATCGCTTGTAGCTCATCGCTGGTAGCTTGTCGCTCCTACATGACCCTTTTTTCGAGCGATATTGCTCCTGATTGCATACAGCCCAATAGGAAAAAGTCGCGCGACACGTCGCTCAATATCGCTTGTCGCACAATATCGCTCAAAATCGCGCGATTTTCATGTCGCTCAGTGTGAATGGGGCCTAAACTTTACAAGTAGTAAATATCTAGTGTTTGCCAGTCTATCATTTGCAGTATTGTCCTAAAATCTAAAAAATTAGGGCCGGGATCAAAATTAAAATGATTCGTGCATCTAAAACTGTGACTGTGTATTATATCTTATTGCCCTTGCACTGTGTAGCAGTGACGTGATGGGAGAGGTATCCCCTGTCCCGCCAAAGCTCTGCCCCCAGCTCGGTAACCAAGCCGTGTGGGGCGGAGACAGGAAGGAGCCTTCCTGTCCCTCACCTGCTCGTCACTGGTGAGGCATCGAGATCGATGTCCTCACTGGGTTTTTTTTTTCTTCGTTTTTTGGATTGGACGGATTGGACCTATGGCGCTTTGCTATTGGTCCAAACCATCCACAGAGCTCACGCTTCTAACACAGAGTAGAGGCTGTGACAGCTCTTGCCTCACCAAGTTAGGTTACACAGCAAAGGGCTTCCCCACTGCTTGTGTAATCTAACTAACTGTCCAAAGCTGGATGCAGCGCCGCCTGTAATTAACAGGCAGCGCTCCGTCCATGACAGGTCACACAGTGGGGAGGCTTTTCCTGCTATGTAACCTGTAACAAGCCGGTCTGAATGGAGAAAAAGCTGCCAGGTTCAGACTTAAAGCTGACACCTTTTTTCTTCATAATACTAGGTGAGGCTCTGCCACCCCTGACTGCACGTCCCTGCTGTATAGATGATTAGATCATTGCTTTCCAAGGTGCCCATACTGCTTACTATGGGCTTAATTTGATGGTTTCAGAACCACACTGCTAACAGTCAGGCCGTGCATGAGCATCCTCAACTTCTGAGGCCATAATTCTGCTGGGAGATCAAGCGGTTGGCTTTGTTGGTGTGACAGAAGACCACATCTTCATGGAGTCCATAAAACCTGCTGCTGTTGATCCAGAGTTTTTTTGGACCATCTTACTTGGTCACATTTGGTTATAGACATAACTAGGTAAATCTGTGAAAAGATGGGTCGGAGGGCCCAGTCTGCTAATCTAAATCCATGCTAAAGGATAAGTATGATTTCCTCTTCTCTGCCACATTGTCTCTGTAAATGTTTTTTGTCTGTAAGGTTATTTACATGTGTTCCATCCACTGTCACTATTAGGGCAATACATTCTACTAAACCAGCCCATGCATACCCCAAAGTGAAATGAGCACGCAGGCGTGGTTTATAGGGATTTAAAGCAGAACTCGAGAAAGTGTTCTTAAAGGAGAACTATGAGGTGAGTGCATTTCACTCACCTCATAGTTCTAGCCGACCTGTGACAATGAGACTGTCACAGGTCGGCTCAGTAGATCGGGAGGTGAGCGAACACATACCGGCGTTCGCTCACCTCTCGATCCTGTCACGGCTCTCTGCCGTGACAGGGGAGGGGCTGGATTCCCCCCAATCCACCAGCGCTGACTGGCGGAACGGACGGGGGAGGGGGCGGGTACAGCTGGCTCTGCCTTTAGATAGGCAGAGCCAGCTGTCAGTCACGCAGCTGGGCGGATCCCGGCACAATTGTCGGGATCCGCTTCAGCTGCGGCGTCTCAGTATACCGCGAGCTACAGCTCGCGGTATACTGAGCCTAGGGTGACGGGAGGACGCTAGTTTGTGTCCTCCCGTTACCCTAAGGAGAACTATGGGGAAAAGACTTAACCCCATAGTTCTCCTTTTAACCCTTGCAGTGGGTCTACCCCCGCATTGAAAGGGTTAACTGCTCTTTCTTGTCTAGGTGCTAAAAGAAAAACAAGTTATGCTCACCTGATCCTTCGAGCCCGCTTGCTTATAGACCGATTTCTGGAGCCTCTCTCCCCCTCCACTGCAGTGCTGTAAGGATCCTTGAGTCAGCACGTTCTATACACGGTGTATAGGACATGGGGACGTAGTAGAGAAACATATCATTGCTGCAGCAGAGGAGGAGACAGGCTTTAGAGACCAGTCTAAGAACAAGCCAGTTCTGAGGTTAGAAATAAAAAGTTGTATCACCTAGACAAAAGAGAGCACTTGCCTCCTTGCTGTGTGGGGGTAGTCCCATGGCAAGGGTTAAGAACACTTTTAGGCGTGTGTTCCCTGATCTGTGACCGCTCCTACAATACATCCGGTTTAGGATGATGGAAGATTAGTAGCTTTGGAAACAAAATCTGCAGCATACCTTCCCCATTCACACACAACTCTAGATGTTCAGATCCCCTGAAGTATAACAGGCCTTTGGTCACATGACCTTTGCTAAAAGGAAGGATGAGCTAATCCAGGAGTGGACAAATGAATACGGCGTTCGGGAGCCAGTCTGTCCAATCCTGGAGCCAGAAGGATTTTTCTTAGAAGCCAACTCCATTGATGACTAGAGGAAACGTCAAAAGTTAGGCACCGGCTGTAATATTTAGGGAGCATTGACCACCCGGCTCCTGGGATTTGTCCTGTTCTGAGCTAATCTAAACTCTGATCCTCCCATTCATCAGTGATCACATGACCAAATGCTATGGCCATCCGGCAGGAGACCGGTGCTGGTGAGAAGCTGAACATTATATTTCATGGAAGGTGGTAGAGCACGTCTTATACGGTTTCCCATCCTAGACGGACCGTGAACGGAGCAGCATTTGTTGCAGAGTGTTATCGGGTCTTTTTTTCATTTTCCTAACACAGTTAAAGTTCGTAATTTTTGGCAAAGCAATAAGATTGTGAGATTGTATACTCAATACGACATCTAGAGCATTGATAGTCTAACTAGCTCGTTGTTTTATTTCAGTCTTTAAAGAGAAGCCGAAGCTCCCTCCCAGCAAATCACAAGCCGTTCTAGGGGGCAGCTCTCCTGAAGATTACTCCTACAAGGCCTCCATCGTGAATCTCTTCAAAAACGTTCCCTTTGTTCTTCTTCTGATTAGTTACGGTAAGATGCAGTCCCGTCATGGGCTCTCCGACTGTTGTATGTTCATTAATGTTCATTGCTGATCCATGTCTGCTTTTGGTTGCAGCACAGCAGTAAACTTTGTCATGGCTTGCAGGTTTCTCAGCATTCTACATCAGCTTGAAAAGAGCCAGCTTGGATCCCCTAGCAAAAAATCCAAATTTGGCTTTCATTTTAGAATAATGAAAGCTTTGTAATTGATTGATGGCTTACTATATATGGCCATTACAGCTAAATGCATTGAAATATGCCTATAGACATTAGGTCAGCGGTTCTCAACCTGTGGGTCGCGACCCAAAAGTGGGTCGTAACCCATCGTTGAGGGGGTCACCGCGACCATTTCTGCTGCGCTGGTTGAGAGCCTCCTTCTTTCGCAGCAGTATCAGTCAGCGGGAGGACAGCAACGACTTTGAATATAAAAGTGCCGCTGTACACACTCCCTGGCCGCTGCAGTGACATCTAGTATCCAGGGAGTGTTTACAACAGGACTTTTCTATTCACAGCCGTTGCTGTCCTCCTGCCTCCCATACAGTGCAGGCTCTGCAGGAGGCGGGCATCTTAGCAGTACTAGGGCTGAAAAGGCTGCATGGAGACAGAGCAGGCAAGCAGGTAGCAGGGGCTGGGGAGGGCTTGCATTCTTGTGAGTGTGCTTCTATTTTTATTTCTAAGTCCAGTGCCTGACTAAGTCCCGAGTCCAGTGCCTGACTAAGTCCCGAGTCCAGTGCCTGACTAAGTCCCGAGTCCAGTGCCTGACTAAGTCCCGAGTCCAGTGCTCTCTTGGGGGTCACCACAACTTGACAAATGTTACCAAGGGGTCCCGGCCCTAGAAACGTTGAGAACCACTGCATTAGGTGGTAGGTTCCAGCAGGTTTATGGGCAGCTTTAATAGACATTCCAGGCTGAATGATATTGGGTGGGGAGAGGACCTCTTCATCCAGCTTATAAACTATTAGGCTCAATTCACAAAGCTTTAGCACAAGAAGGAGGAGCTTTGTATTAGCCATACAATTATATTATTCAAATCTAACTGGGCTCCGCTGAAAAAAAAGAGTCCTTATCCTGGTGTGTTAGCTTTGTAAATTGGGTCTGTTGCCTGTTAAAGGTTTGCCAGCTATAGCAGTCTACAGCCACAGCGGGGAGACCCAGGCATCTGTCATAACCAAACGTGTTGCATGCTGATTCTAGCAGCACCTCCTAGCGGCAAAAAAGTGAAGGCTTGACACTCTGCACTGCTGGTGGCTCTCAGTCACAGCTCCAGTCCCCACTTACAATTCTTAAACAATCATAGTGGTCCTGGATCGTTTGGTCACAATGTCAGCTGTGACATAATAATCACATTCAAGCCGTGGTCTTCAAGCACAAAATAAGCCTTCAGCCTGCAGATGAAAATGGCCACGTCCAGGCTGCAGTAGCCTCTGCAGTGCCATCTATTTGATACTGTAATTGTGAAATGCAATTACATTATTGAAAAATAATATATTACCTTTTTTAAACTTAATTTTTTGCACCTTTTTTTCACTGTATGGAATAAAAGCTTCATATTTAAAAATACTTAAAAAATTAATGAATAACAATAAAATAAATACAATAATAATAAAAAATAAATAAATATGTGTATGTATGTAGAAAATGTGACCTGGGATTTTAACTATTCATGACTTCGGTCCATGAAAGAGAGGTTTAATTACACTTTGATACTGAAATGGCAGTGTCTGTCTGTTAAACACGGTAACAAATGATCATGTCAGATGTCTAGCATGTGTTTCTTCTATACATCATGTTTATACTCTATACTTGTATAGAATTATGTGGCCACAGAGATCAATAATCATTTGCAGAGAAAAATACGTTTGCCATGGCTACTTTGAATAGGTTCAGTTTAGGGGAGCAGACACAGAGGGGGGGATAATTGGGATGGGGGGGGCAGAGTGAAAGCAAGGAAGAGGAATCGCAGCGAGAGTCCCTGGAGTGGACTGCATTGAATAAACACATAACAGAGAAGAGACACTTAGTCATCAGACAGCCACATTGTCCTTCATCTGGAAGAGTTCCACTACTGGCATCCGTGTCTTCATCTAATCCATGAATAGAAGCTGCAGGTTCCTAATGATCTCTGTGAAATCCTGTAATCTCCCTGTAGGAGGAAGCGATGGGTGAGGATTCGGTCCTTCATCTCCAATGAATCATGTTCTCGGTATTTGCAGTGTCACGTCCAGTTCCTCCTCACCAGCCGCGGCGTATCGTAGCATAATATTTATTCAGGCATTGGATAAGAAATTGTTCTTTTATTGCAGGGATCATGACCGGCTCCTTCTATTCCTTGTCCACGCTGCTAAACCAAATGATCACACTTCATTACAAGGTCAGTCTCTTCTGCATCATTATTAAATAAAGGTTGTCTGTCGGATTATTTAAAGGAGAACTCCAGTCTAAACATGAACATTTCTTTATTTTCTAAGGGCAGAGCTGTTTAATTTTGTTTTTTATTGATCTCTTATGGAGTCAGTCCAACAAAAGAGAGACGTGCTGGAGAATGAAACCTCCTGACAATTTCTGGGCTCTGCACTTTTGTCCATTATGAGGGTTCCCACTCTCCCTGCTGGATTTTGTATTCATTTTATATAGGGATGCAGTGATGCCGGTTTTTCATTATCGAGCACCGATATTTCTTTTTCGGTACGTGCCGATTGCGAATACTGATACCAGAAGTCCCATTAAGGAAGCCAGGCAGCGTGTAAAGACTTGCCACCTGGCTTCCTGATTAGCAGGGAAGCCGTCTCCATGCTCCCTCGTTACCAGGTTACGAGGAAGCATGGATTCAGCTTTCTGGCCAATCAGGAAGCCGGGGGGCGGATAATGACTTGCTGTCGTGCTTCCTTCCTGATTGGCCAGCTTCATTACAGCGAGTCATTACCCACCCCCCGGCTTCCTCACCACCTGGCTTCCTGATTGGCCGGCTTCCCGGTCAATCAGGAAGCCGGGCAGCATGAAATGACTCGCTGCCCAGCTTTCTGATACTGGAAGTTCAGGTATCGGGCTAGGCATCGTTGCATTTGGGCGAGTACAAGTACTCACCCAAATACTCGGTATCGGCACCAAATACTAGTATCGGTGCATCCCAAAATTTTATATTATAGAAAATGTAACAGGAGGAGCTGGGAGCACCCAAAGGTGGACAGGAACACTCAACCCTTGCCAGGTAGACAGGCAAAAGGGCATTGGGAATTACCGTGGGGAGATCTCAGTGTTGAGTATCCAAGAAGCCAGTGGCTGTAACGCCGGTATGTGTTCGCTCACCTCCCGATCTACTGAGCCGACCTGTGACAGTCTCATTGTCACAGGTCGGCTAGAACTATGAGGTGAGTGAAAAACACTCACCTCATAGTTCTACTTTAACTAAAATATCACTTTTGGGTGGACTGGCCCTTTAAGCGGAGGGGCTGTTATGCAGATTGTCTGATCTTTCAAACTGGGTGTTTAGAATAATTTGTTGCCTGTGTCCTCCCTGTTCCCTTTAATGTTGTAACTGTTGTTATTACTTTTATTATACACAGTAATGCAGCGCACGCATTTATACACAATTCTCCCGCTAATTTGATGGTAAAACCGACTTTCTCCAATCATCTTCCAGGCCAGCAACCTGAGAGGATAAGTAGGCTTGCTGTCCTGGAAGATTCCTAGAAATCCCGTTATGGGTAAGTGTATAACGGAACATTTCTTGGTGTTGTGTGATTTTTATGTAGATTGGTGTTTCCGTACATAGAGATTTCCGGGGGGTTATATGAAATGTGTGTTCATTCTGATGATCTCAGACATTGGGCTTTAGGTCCGGTCACGCTGGTCTGAGCCTGATAATAGGTTGACACACACACTAATCTGTCTGGGTGATATTCCTGACAGGGGGAAGAAGTGAACGCAGGACGGATTGGGCTCACCCTGGTCATAGCTGGAATGGTTGGCTCCGTCATCTGCGGCCTGTGGTTGGATTACACTAAAACTTACAAGTAGGTGAACATTAATCTGTAATCCGGTTTTCCGGCGGTGATCCGTATGTGATTCTACCTCCATTATATACTGATGTTTTATGAGTAAATATTTGGTTGTAATTGCAGTAAACCTGAGACCTGTCATGTCTGTATGAAAACTACCCGTTGTCAAGCCTGCTATAAAATAGTTGTATTCTGATAACTTTAGAGGTTTAATACCTGTAATTAGGGATGCCCCAGTACCGATACTAGTATTGATGCCGAGTATTTGGGCGAGTACTAAATGCTCTGATGCCTAGCACGATGCCTGAGCTTCCGGTATCCGGAAGCCAGGCAGTGATTCACTACACACTGCCCGGCTTCCTGATTGGCCAGGGAAGCCGGTGTTCTGTCGAGAACGCCAACCCAGACGAATTTGACGACCTCACCATCTGCACTTGTGCACACATCGGGATTAACAAGGAAACAGCCATTTATTTACAAAGTAATTTGTCTTCATTGTTAATCGTGACCGTTAATAATATGCCTTCCATGGCAGTAAACGGTGCATGGCATTTTATGCACATTTACAATTAATATCTTAAGCAATTACATAATAATATAAATACTTACAATGTTAATTGTGAATGTGCATAAATTGCCATCCACCGTTTACTGCGATGGAAGGCATATTATCAAATCACAATTAACAATTACAAATTAATACGTTGTAAAGAAATCCCTATTTCCTCGTTAGTCCTGTCTATGGGCAAGCGCAGATGGTGAGGTCGGCAAATTCAACTGGGTCGGCATTCTCAACAGAACACCGGCTCAATGCTCCCTCGTCACTTGGCGCGTGTAATGACTCACCGCCTAGCTTCCTGATTGGTCGGGAAGCTGACCAATCAGGAAGCCAGACAGCGAGTAATCACCCGCCCCCCAGCTTTCTGATTGGCCAGAAAGCCGGCTTCATCCCCCCTCGTCACCCGGTGACGAGGGAGCATGGAGACGGCTTCCCTGCTAATCAGAAAGCCGGGTGGCAAGTCTTTTTACATGCCGCCCGAGTTCCCGGCTAATCAGGAAGCCAGGTGGGGAGTGATTACACGCCGCCTGGCTTCCTTAATGGGACTTCCGGTATTTGCTATCGCGAGTACCGGAAAAAAAATATCAGCACTCGTACTTGATACCGAAAAAACGGTATCGGTGCATCCCTGCCTGTAATGATTGCATTCAGTATATGAATTCCTTTGTTTTATTTCACAAGCCTTTATTTTTCTCAACCTTCTCATGCAGACTAAGCTGGCCAGCAAAAGTGAGGTTGGGACAAACCATATAACACTGCTGGGGGTCCTTACACTTGTCAGCTTTTTTTCACAATGGTTTAATCCATTTTTTCCAAAAGAAGAAAGAAACTGTTGCTGTAGCTCAGGGTGGGCAGCTCCAACCCTCCAGTTGTGGTGGAACTACAAGTCCCATGAGGCATTGCAAGACTGACCGTTACAGGCATGACTCCCAGAGGCAGAGGCATGATGAGATTTGTAGTTAAAGTCCAGCTGGAGGGCCAGGGGTGCCCCCACCCCTGGTATAACTGCTTGGAAAGTGACAGCTGAAGTTGCAGTCCGTTTTGCCCGTAGGTCCACATTCAGTCAGGTCTGAGATAAGAAATGGAAATGTATCTACAAATATGTACTTCCTCCTCGGAATAATTCTATTATTATTGATTTACAGACAGACCACTCTGATTGTGTACATCTTGTCCTTCGTTGGGATGATAGTGTTCACCTTTACACTGGATCTAGAGAACCTCATGGTGGTCTTTGTGACAGGAGGCATTCTGGGGTAAGTGACTTTCACTTGTTATAAACTTATGAATATACACTCACTGGCCACTTAATTAGGTACACCTTGCTAGTACTGGGTTGGACCCCTTTTGTTTTCAGAACTGCTGTAATTCTTCGTGGCATTAATTCAACAAGTTGATGGAAACATTTCTCAGAGAGTTTGGTCCATACTGACATGAAAGCGACACACAGTTGCTGCAGATTTGTTGGCTGCACATCCGTGATGCGAAGCTCCACCAGCCTGAACCGTTGATAGGCAGGATGGATCCATGCTTTCATGTTGTTTACATCAAATTCTGACCCGACCATCCGAATGTCACAACAGAAATGGAGACTCATCAGACTAGACAACGTTTTTTTCAATCTTCTATTTTACCATTTTAGTGAGCCATTGCAAACTGTAGCCTCAGTTTCCTATCCTTAGCTGACAGAAGTGGCACTCAGTGTGGTCTTCTGTGACTCTAGCCCATCTCCTTCAATGTTCAATATATCATGTGTTCAGAGATGGTATTCTGCATACCTCGGATGTAATGAGTGGTTATTTGAACCAGTCTGGCCATTCCCCTCTGGCATCAACAAGGTATTCTTGCCCGGACAGCTGCCGCTCCCTGGATATTTTCTCTTTTTCGGACCATTCTCTGTAAACCCGAGAGATGGTTGTGTATGAACATCCCAGTAGATCAGCAGTTGCTGAAATACTCAGACCAGCCCGTCTGGTACCAACAACCATGCCACGTTCAAAATCACTTAAATCCCCTTTCTTCCCCATTCTGATGCTCGGTTTGAACTTCAGCAGACCATCTTGACCATGTCTACATGCCTAAATGTATAGAGTTACTGCCATGTGATTGGCTGATTAGATATTTGTGTTAACGAGCAGTTGAAGAGGTGTACCCAATAAAGCGGCCAGTGAGTGTAGAGTTTATTGCAATGCTGCAGGGTTGTGTTATGTGACGGCTATTCCATAGAATCTCTGGAGGAGAAGCAGATCACAAGCTGCTATAAGAAGACCGGCCCGGTATATGTTTACAGAGGCCTTGTCCATCCCTCCATCGTATGTGATAAAAGCCGATTGGGACCCCTGATTCCTTCTACATTGGTGCCGGTCTGCTGGGCAACTTGTAGCGGACACAGACAAGCTGAATGACAAGAAAGCCATATTGACACTGGCCTGGTCCTGTTATGACAGCTCTGAAAGCTCAGGGATAGATACATCGTGGATGAGCATTTATATTTGCAGAATTGCTTGGTTTTTCTTGTGTTTGTGATAAAGAACGTCTCTGTTTTACAAGTACAGGAATGCTGAGCTCTGGACAAAATTCACAGTCCAGATCCATATATGTGAACGGCCCTACCTGACAAAAATGATGTAATCCCACTTTTATTAAAACAGTTCTCCTTCAGGTCCTCTTCTGCTGTTTGACAGCAGGCAGTGGGCTGGTACAATAGCCAGCCTGCTATTGGCTGTTTCAAATTGCAATAGCTGTTAGCAAACTAGCTATTGCACACACCCACTGCCTCCGAGCCCGTCCAGGAGAGCGCGCACCTGACCCGCGCCC